GGCATGGACCACCATGGTCAAGTCAGACTTCACGAGGTATGGTCGCAGTTGGTGCACGAGTTTTAATTGTGCAAAGGTTCTCCCGGCCACCGCCGACACCTGAGCTTCAAGCATCATGAGTCCAGGAGAACCCCCAAACTGCGGACCTGTGACTTCAGAGGGAGTGCAACCCCGTCCAGCACAGGTTGCCACCCAATGCCCCAATCAGACGAGTGAATGACCTGGAGGACCTCTGTCTTATCAGGATTGATCCTCAGCTTGTTCCTCCTCATCCAGATTATCACAGCAGCCAGGCACTGGTTCAGTATCTTCGGGGCTTCCTTGGAGTCTGGTGGAAATGAGTAGTGGAGTTGGGGTGTCATCTGTGTAGAGATGGCACTGTATTCCAAAACTCCGGATGACCTCTCCCAGCAGTTTTATGTAGATGTTGAAAAGCATGGGGGACAGAATGGATCCTTGCGGGACCCCACAGGTCAATGGCCAGGGGTCCGAGCAGGAGTTCCTCAGCTTCACCGACTGGGAACGACCCTCCAGGAAGGACTGGAGCCATAAAAGAACTGTGCCCCCGAGTCCCATCCCAGCGAGCCTTCCCAGAAGGATACCATGGTCGATGGTATCAAAAGCCGCTGAGATGTCCAAAAGAACCAGCAGGGTCACACTCCCCCTGTCCAGTTCCCTGTGGAGGTCATCCACCAAGGCGACCAAAGCCGTCTTGGTAATGTGCCCAGGCCGAAAGCCAGACTGCGAATGATCTAGAAAATCGGTGTCATAGAGCAATCCCTGGAGCTGCGAGGCAACCACCCGCTCCAGAACCTTGCCCAGAAAAGGGAGGTTGGAAATTGGTCTGTAGTTGTCACATATAGTCGGGTCAAGGGAGGACTTCTTCAGCAGAGGTTTTACCACCGCCTGCTTAAGATAAGATGGAAATTTCCCCTGGCCCAGCAAAGCATTCCAACAACCCCTCTCTGGACAATTTAACTAACCAGGAAGGGCAAGGATCCAGAGCGCAAGTGGTCGCCATCACAGCCCCAAGAATCTCCTCCACGTCATCAGGATGAACAAGGTGGAAAGAATCCCAAAAGATTGAACAGACAGGTTCCTCGGTTACCTCATCTGGCATTGCATTTAAACTGGAGTCCAGCCCAAGACGTATCTGAGCAACTTTGCCTGCAAAATGGCACGCAAAATCGCTGCACTGAGTTGCCGAGTCATCAGGAAGCTCCTCAACCTCAGGAAGTCAAAGGAGCTCCCCAACAACCCGGAACAACTCCGACGGTCTATTTGCTGCAGACGCTATGCGAGCAGTTGAGAATGTTTTCCTGGCTACTCGCAAAGCCACGGAATAAGCTCGAATAGCGGCTTTAGCCTGTGCTTGGTCAGACACACCCTGAGATTTCCTCCAGATGCCCTCTAGACCACTCTTCCAGTGCTTCATCACAGCCAGCTCCTCGGTGAACCAGGGAGTCAGTGTGGTTCTGCACAACAAGAGGGGACGTTCGGGAGCGATCATGTCAATCACCCTAGACATCTCGCTATTATGGCGATCAACAAGGGCGTCTACAGGATTGCCAGTCTCCAGGACAGGAAGATCCCCAAGAGACCTCAGGAATAATTCTGGATCCATCAGCCTTCTGGGGCGGACCATCTTAATGGGTCCACCACCCCTGCGGAGGTTTGAGGGTACAGTCAATCTTAAGCTGATCAGATGATGGTCAGACCATGACAAAGGAAGAATGTTTTGCTTTTCCACGCTGACTGTCCCACCGTCCACAAGGAAAACAAGGTCCAAAGTGTGTCTCGCTTGATGCATGGGGCCAGATATTACTTGAGTCAGCCCCATGGTCCTCATGGCAACCATGAAATCCTGAGCTGCACCTGACAATGTGGTCTCGGCATGAATGTTAGTCTCCCAAAACTGTAAGTTGTTGAGAGGCTAAGGCCAAATTTGAGACTACGTCTGCTAGCTCAGACAGGGAAACTGCCGGGTCATGGGGTGGGCGGTACACCAGCAGGAACCCCAGGCTGTCTCGGGTTTCAACTTTCAAGTAGACACACTCGAATCTTGATGATTGTGGAACGGTGCATCTGATCAGGTTGATGGACTGCCAGAAGACCACTGCTACCCCACCTCCCTGCCCCCCAGACCTAGCCTGCTGGTGCACAATGAAACCTGGTGGCCACAGCTGGGTAAGGTTAACCCCCCCCCCCCCAGCTCATCCAACCATGTCCCGGTGATGCATGCCAGATCCGCCACCTCATCCAGGATCAAGTCTTTAATGACAGAGGTCTTACCATTAACGGATCTGGTGTTCAAGAGCAGAATTTTAAGTCCAGGGGGTCTGTCAAGGAGACTACCACACCTAGCCTTCTCCAGTGTCACAAGTACTCTGCTGCGCTTCTCCCTGGGTAAAGAGTGACCGCTCTTCCTCCTTCCCCACACCACCTCAATGGCACCCAACCCATTCTGGAGAGGATTGGGGAAAATACACCTTGGCATGTGGGAGTTGCTGGGATGTATAGTTCCCCTAGACAGGAAAAAGGGTGTATGGTATAGAGTAGTGTAATACTTCTCATATAGGTATTCAATTTATCCACTTTTTACATAAGTATACTCATAACATAGTAAGTGGTATAACTCACATAATTTTACTCCAAACTTGCTAAGATTCTCACGTATAACTAAGGCTTCAAATTAGGTTAATAATGCATACTTAACATAAAGCTGTACATATATGTAACCCTTACTCTAACAGTACAGTAGTAGTAGTATTGGTTCTGTAATACACATGAAGTTCAAAAACAGTCTTATTGTCGTCTTGAATTTGTTCTTAAGTCTTCATGGTGTCAACGAACAAATTCATGCACATATAAATGTTCAAATTCTTCATACAAGTGAAGTTGGCGTGGATTTACTCTTGGGTAAGTCCTTTGCCACAGGGTTGTAGTTTCAGTCCTTTATTATTGTTGTTTCTAGATGTCAGGGACAGCCAAGTAACCTGTTGTGCCGGGTGAGTACAACTGGTTTCCCGGGTACAGGCCAGTTTCGATACTTCCTCAGGTAATCTCCCTTCTTATCTTTTTCTAGTAAAATTCAAAATAAAAGAAGAACTAGCTAGTATATTACATTATACCATACTAACAATAGACATGTAAAGGAACACCCCAAACTTATGTATAACATAAATAATAGTCTTAGTACTAAAGTTGTGACTTACATGCTCTTGCAGGATTTTTACATGTAGAGTTCTTTAATTAGTAGCGAGCACTCTATTGAGGTACAGCAGGTTCTTAAGTATTGTAGGAACAATACAGTTAATTAGGTGCTAAGAGATCATTAAAGGTAACAGCTGAATTCTAGTTTGTCATTCAAACCTTGAGGTGTTAATGTCTTTAATTTGTGGATCCAGAAGGTCTCCCTGCGAAGAAGTAATTTCTTGGAGTTGGTTTAACCTCTGTCTGGCTACTTAAACTGAATTACAGTGTCACGAAAGGATGCGTGTCTAAAACGTGACACCAACATGAAAGGTTTGGAAAGCTCTGCCTTAGAGTCTCTCTGGGATCAATGACCACAGTTCCCTCCAATGGGAAGTCTATGTAGACGTCAACTCTCAGGGACGCTCTTTCCACGTGCCATCTCTCAGGGATACTTGGATTGTGCTTTTCCTGCATGGCGGGGGGTTCTCATTATGATATTTATTTATATCGCGCTTTTTCTCTCCATATGGAGACTCAAAGCGGCTCACAAATTAACAGCGTCACAATACAACTTAAAACATACAAATATTAAAACCCTATGTCTATATAGGTTTTCTCCCCAGGGTGAGTTCTTTGATGTTTATGTAGAGATGAACTACGAGTGAACCACACTCCAGGCATTTATAGGGTTGCTCCCCAGTATGGAGGAGTCCCCGGTGGTGCAGTGGGTTAAAGCACTGTGCCGGCAGGACTGAAGACCAACAGGTCGCAGTTTCGATTAGCTCCAGCTCCTCATGCGGGGACATGAGAGAAGCCTCCCACAAGGATGATAAAACATCAAAAAATCATCCAAGCGTCCCCTGGGCAACGTCCTTGCAGACGGCCAATTCTCTCACAACAGGAGCGGTTGCTCCTGAAACGACAAAAAAAAAAATCCCCAGTATGAGTGCTTTTATGTGAATGTAGTGGTCTACTCTGAGTGAAGCTCTGTCCACACTCCAAGCATTCATAAGATTTTTCCCCCAGTGTGGGTCGTTTCATGTTTATTTAGATAGGAACTCTGAGTGAACCTCTGTCCACACTCAAGGCATGTATAGGGTTTCTTCCCCATGTGAATCCTTTGATGTGTACGTAGACTTGAACTCTGAGTGAAGCTCTGTCCACATTCCAGGCATTTATAAGGTTTCTCCCCAGTGTGAATCCTTTGATGTTTACGTAGACTTGAATTATGAGTGTACCTCTGTCCACATTCGAGGCATATATAGGGCTTCTCCCCAGTGTGTGTCCTTTCATGTAAAAGTAGACCTGACATATTAGCAAAGCTCTGTCCACATTCCTGGCATTTATAGGGTTTCTCCCCAGTGTGAATCCTTTGATGTATACGTAAATTTGAACTCTGAGTGAAGCTCTGACCACATTCCAGACATTTATAAGGTTTCTCCCCAGTGTGAATCCTTTGATGTATATGTAGACTTGAACTCTGAGTGAAGCTCTGACCACATTCCAGGCATTTATAGGGTTTCTCCCCAGTGTGAGTCCTTTCATGTGAACGTAGATTTGAACTCTGAGTGAAGCTCTGACCACATTCCAGGCATTTATAGGGTTTCTCCCCAGTGTGAGTCTTTACATGTCTACGTAGATGTGAACAACGAGCAAAGCTCTGTCCACACTCCAGGCAGGAATAGGGTTTCTCCCCGGTGTGAGTCCTTTCATGTGAACGTAGACCTGATATCCTAGCAAAGCTCTGTCCACATTCCAGGCATTTATAGGGTTTCTCCCCAGTGTGAATCCTTTGATGCCTACGTAGACTTACATTATCAGCAAAGCTCTGTCCACACTCCAGGCAGGAATAGGGTTTCTCCCCAGTGTGAGTCTTTACATGTTGCTGCAGACTATCCCTCCGAGTGAAGCTCTTTCCACACTCCAGGCATGTATAGGGTTTCTGCCCAGTGTGAGTCCTTTCATGTGAATGTAGATTTGAACTCTGAGTGAAGCTCTGTCCACACTGCAGGCAGGAATAGGGTTTCTCCCCAGTGTGAATCTTTACATGTTGCTGCAGACTATCCCTCCGAGTGAAGCTCTTTCCACACTCCAGGCATGTATAGGGTTTCTGCCCAGTGTGAGTCCTCTTATGTGTACGTAGACTTGAATTATGAGTGAAGCTCTGTCCACACTCCAGGCAGGAATAGGGTTTCTCCCCAGTATGAGTCTTTACATGTTGCTGCAGATCATGCCTCTGGGTGAAGCTCTTTCCACACTCCAGGCATTTAGACGCTTTCTCCTCCATGTCACGAATGATACGGGTGTTTAATTCCAATACAGAGACTTGACTCTTCTTTATTCCTTTGTTTTCTGTAAGTGAAGTCAAGAATTCAGCAAGATCATCGCCTCGAGAGGATTTCTTCTCTCTCTATTATTGGTTTCCTTACTGCATCCAAGAGGTCGCTCCAAAGAGTCCTCACTTCCCTGGTGAAGAAAGAAGAGAAAGATCAAGGATGGAAGCCAGAGACCTTCTCTACCTCCAAGATTTCCCCCTTCCCCTTCATGGGTCACGTTGAGAATGGGAATACCAAGAAGGGCCGACACTGGGGCCTCACGCACATATCCAGAGACCAGCCGTGGGAATCAATGGTTCTTTAAAAAGAAGGGAATGGATTCAGAAGAAGAGAGGGATGGAGGAAGAAAAAAGGAACGAGAGAAGGAAAAATGGGGAAATCCTAATTCTGGAGCATCATATTGATTTTATTGGGATGAAGAGAAATGTGGAAAAGCTCCTTTTATGCGTTCCCCATAAATGTCATGCTCCTATTTTATCTCATTACAGTCTTTTAATTGTTTTATCCTGCATATTTATTTATTTATTTATTTCGCCCTTCTCACCCCCTCGGTATAAGGTATATGTGGCCTGCCCGTTGTTGTTGTTATTGTGATTGATTGAATATGGGGGGAGTGGTTGATTTTATCATTTGGGAGTTGTAGTTGCTGGGATTTATAGTTCACCTGCAATCAAAGAGCATTCTGAACTCCACCAGCAATGGCATTGAACCAAACTCCCATGACCACCAGAAAATACTGGAGGGTTTGGTGGGCATTGGCCTTGAGTTTGGGAGTTGTAGTTCACCTCCCTCCAGAGAGCACTGTGGACTCTAACAAGGATGGACCTGATGGACCAAACTTGGCACGGATACTCAATGTGCCCAAATGTGACCCCTGGTGGAGTTTGGGGGAAATACACATTTGGGAAGCAAAAAGCATTCTGAACTCCACCAACGATAGAAGTGGGCCAAACTTCCCACACAGAACCCCCATGACCAATGAGAAAATACTGTGTTTTCTGATGATCTTTGGTGACCCCTCTACCACCCCCCCTTCACGAACCACTCAGGGGTCCCGACCCCCAGGTTGAGAAACGCTAGTCTAGGGAAAGGTTTTCAGCAGCGGAAGGAGAGCTCGAGATACACAGGCGTTCCATCCAGGTTCCTTCCGAGGAATGTCTTTGCAGTGACCAACGCAATAAATCCCAACCTGGGAAGAAAGGGCATCTGCTCTGAGCGATCCTCCCATAGAAGCCGCCTCAACAATGCCCAAATAAGCATATGCAAAACAGCCTGAAAGGGGGAAAGTCCTGGGAAGGGGGATTTATATAAGAGAAGAGTTTTTGATGAACTTCAAAGGTAAGCGACGGGAGAGGCTGTGAAGAAGGGTCCTCAAACTAAGGCCCGGGGTCCGGATGCGGCCCTCCAAGGTTATTTACCCGGCCCTCGCTCGGGGTCAACCTAAGTCTGAAATCACACAACAACAACAACAATCCTATTTCCTCACCCAAAAGCAGGCCCACACTTCCCATTGAAATACTAATAACTTTATATATCTATATCTATATACGCACTACAAATAAGATATGTGCAGTGTGCAGAGGAATTCATGTTTCTTTTCTAATTATAATCCGGCCCTCCAAGAGTTTGAGGGACTGTGGCCTGGCCCTCTGTTTACAAAGTGTGAGGACCCCTGCTGTCAAGGAATCAACGAAAGGACCAACTTGTAAGGATCGGCCAGTGATTGAGTGATTCCAATGAGGGAGGAAAGCGTAATTTGTAATTTCAAGATTTATAGACACAAACTGAAACTCAACACAGAATGATGCGTAATTAATGGGATTAGAAGTGAATCAAGTGGATGGAAGTGAAATCAGGGGCGAGGCCACTTTCCTCAGCATGGCCTTGACCGCAGTCACAACCACTCAGGCTGTCCACAACAACACTGTCTGGGAGCGTCGCCCAATACGCGTATGTGCTTATAAAAGATATTTAATTGGAAACTTGTTGAAATACGACGCCCAACAGACAATAAATAAATAAATATTTTCACCTGTATTTTCATAATAACCTTGTTTGATATGAAGAAAAACAAACTGGATGGATACAAATAATGAGACAAATGGAAATAGATTCATCGAATCCTAGAGTTGGGAGAGACCTCGTGGCCATCATCCAGTCCAACCCCCTTCTGCCAAGAAGCAGGACAATTGTGTTCAAAGCACCCCTGACAGATGGCCATCCAGCCTCTATTCAAAAGCCTCCAAAGAAGGAGCCCCTACCACACTCTGGGGCAGAGAGTTCCACTGCTGAACAGCTCTCACAGTCAAGAAGTTCTTCCTAATATTCAGGTTGAATCTCCTTTCTTATAGCTTGAAGCTGTTGCTCCATTGCGTCCTAGTCTCCAGGGCAGGAGAAGACAAGCTTGCTCCCTCATCCCTAGGACTTCCTCTCAGATATGTATACATGGCTATCAGCCTGTCTCCTTTCAGCCTTCTCTTCTGAAGGCTAAACATACCCAGCTCCTTAAGCCGCTCTTCATAGGGCTTGTTCTCTAGACCCTTGATCATTTCAGTCGCCCTCCTCTGGACACATTCCAGCTCAGAATCAACCTCTCCCTTCAGTTGTGGTGCCCAGAATTGGACACACTGTGATTCCAGGTAACGTGATCTAAGTAAAGCAGAGGGAGCAGGACTTCCCGGGATATCTAGGCACTTCACTCCTGTTATTTCAGGCCCAAATCCCATTGGCTTTTTTAGCGGCAGCATCACATTGTTGGCCACATGGACAATTTCAACAGGAAGGAAGAAACCATGAAAATAAACACAATGTGGCTCCTAGTAGTAAAAAAAAAACTCTAAAATCAGGTCAGAAACTGTTTTTACCAAGTTTTTAAAAAAATGTTTGTGTATTTAAATACATTACAACCGTACCCTTGGTTCTCTTCTGACACGGTAAATAAAAATAAAAGATAGTAAACAAAGAACAACACTCTGAAAACAGGGGAATTGCAGACATGAAACAATCAGGGCCAGCTAACACCTTCCAACAAAGGATCCCCCCAGGCAGGAAGCAGCCAGGCTGTGAAGCTACAAGGCCATTCAATACTTATCAAGGGGGCCAATGGCAACATTCACACTTGCCTCCAACAGACA